GCAAAATCCACTTGATCATGACGCTGCGTTTTTCGAAGTTTCTCAAAAACCGTTCGAGCCAGATAATTCGTTTTGGCATCGTTGGATAGAGAATTGAATGGGGAACCCCCATGACCCCCCTCCTCGATCTGCCCTTGAGGTGGTCTGAATAACCATTTTTGGATCAGCAGCGATGATAAAAAGAAGCACTTTTCACGCAGTGTGCGCAAAAGTAAATATGACAAAGCGAACGTGTCACTGTCATAATATATTTTTTATTCGAATGAATCTAAAAGTGTAATTTTTCGATCAGAAGCGATGATCAAACGAAGCACTTTTCTTTACTGGTCATTTGTTTTACTTTTGCGCACGGACTTTTACGCGCGTATGCGCAAAAGTAAATGTGACAAATTGAACTTGTCACTGTCATAAAATATTTCAAAGAATTTTCCTTAAAAAGTAACCGACAGACTTTTTTAATGAATTACGTAGGTTTATAGAGAACTATTGATCATAATTTAAAGTTTACTTACAATTTGTAAATTATAACCTTGTTACAAGTTCAGTCTCAAAGTCGTTCAAATGGTCTCTTTTTCTGCGCCACGTTGCCACAAGCAAACACGATTTTTTTAAAGAGCGCAAATTTTACGCAAAATATGCATCTTATACAAACACCAAACCGTGAAAGCAGCGCTTGAATTTTCAACACTCATTGTTTCGCTTGTATATGCTGACAAAAGTACGCGTTTGAAAAATTACAAACGTCAAAACATGACAGTTTCAAAAATGGCATTGACATCAAATTTTAAATATGAAGTTGACGGCTCGACTTCGTCTCGGGTGTCAGAGGCTGTGGTCGATGGAAAAACGACACTTTTCGCCCTTGTATCGAAAACTACTATTTTTTACTTAAAGTAATCCAAAGTGGCTACCAATTACACTGATGCCCTTATTTTTTGCCACAATTCTTCACGCGAACCAACCGCATCTCGGAAAACTTGATCTTTTATTTGAGACCAAATGGAAAAATCCAGAGAATTCAAGTCTGGATTTTTGACTGGATCTAAGACACGCACCCAGCCGACAAAAATGTGGTGGAGCTTCATCTTGCATAAACTGCATTATTATCCCTGAACGAAGTGGAACATTTTCCAGAAAATCGACCAAATTTAGTTGCAGAACATTGAACAAAATTGCCAAATAATTAAAAAGTACCATCGTTGGTTGTATCGTACATCGCACCATTGTTGTTGTTCTTGTTTAAAATAGGGAAAACGTAAACGAGCAGGAGGAGGATCTTGCAGCATCAAATTCTGCACAGGACTAAAACGAAACGCACAACGTTTTTCCCCGAATTTTCCAAATCATCGGAACTACGTCTGTTGCAGTGTTTAAAACACGCGTCCTTATGGCTGACTGAAGCTGACAGCTTTAATTTTTGGCTATTTTGATTCATTACAACTTATGATTCGTGTTATGTCCTTTATTCGAATAAAAAGTATTGTTCGATACGAGGGCGAAAATTCGTTTTTCGAACTCCTGACGGATTGACGAATTTTGATGAATTGCCAAGCCTTAAAAATGAGTTTCCTCGAATTTTAACACAGCTTTGGACCGGAAAAACGAAATGTTGGTACCAACCTTGCGCCCCGCTTTATTATTATGCAAATTCATCAGGCTCCTTTCGTCGCCCTCAATTTCTCGCGCGTCCATAAACTTCCGGGCAAAGCGGGTTCCAAAGTCCACATCCACACTGCATCCACCCCATTTCCAGCCATTCGGGGCTGGATCTCTCGTCTTCGTCGGGCTCAAACATCCACACATGGAAATGTTGCCGCGAGCGCACGCCGCTGTTATTGCATAAGTGACTCCGGCACTGCTTATGGCATAAGTGAATGCTGCCTCTCTGGAACCTGCAAAAAGTGTGATCAATTAGCCTAGATAGAATCAATAGAATAGAGCTAGACGGGAATGATTCTCATTATTCTAGCAGGAATTCCAGATAGTCATGCTGTCAATTAAATAACTCATAAGGAAATGGTTAATAGACTATTAAAGAGACAACATCATGGTTGCAGTTAATTTACGATCATTCGCTAAATCTCAATATGGCCAGTTCTCATTAGCAATAAAAGAACTCGTGTCATATTTAACGTGTTGACAGTGGCCGTTAACACTAATGTGGTCGAAGGCTTTTGCTTCGGATTGATTTAAGATTTAGATCAACCACGAGATAAGATAGCAGCGAATTGGATAATATCGATCGTGAGTCATGCATGTTTTCCAATCAGATTCAATTATCGCCTGTCTGCATTCAATCACCGTTAACTATCGGATATTACGAGTTGTTGCCGCTAATGGGTCGAAGCATCGAAGTTCGACTTATTCACTTCAGAGGGCGCTTTTGTCGATTTTAGTTCGACCTATGCACTTTAGAGGGCGCTGCTTTCTATAATCATTGGTACTCATTCACTATAGGTGGCGCCCAACTGTCGCCTACAATTCGGACAAAGTGTTTTCAACTTTTTGCTAGTTGGGGATAAATTTCGGGAAAGAACGCACAGTGTGTGCGGTGCAAAAAAACCTGCAGGCTTGGGGTGAAAAAGGGTGAAAAAACCAGTCAAAGATGCAGTAAAATGATCTTTATTGATCAATTTATAAGCTGAACAGACTGTATTTAGGTTCAGCTGCCTAAGAAAACAACACGCTATCAACCAAAAGTAATGCAAGATGGAATTTGCTTAATAAAGAAGAGCAACAGCAACGGAACTAAGTAAAGCCTGTGGCCCATGCAT